ATGAAGAATTTAAGTCTTTTAAAGTTCATTATTTTTGTATCTATATTTATAATTTATTTTCTTGATTATTCTTTTGGTATCGGGATCTTTTCTTCCCAATAGTACCTCTCCATGGATCATGTAGAGAACTCTCCTTTTCTCCGGTCCTTTTGTTTAAGCCACTAATGTTTTGTCCCCCTCTTTTCTCTTGGGGAGATCAACAACATTCTATTGCATTTCATATCTAGTGAATATTTCTCCTATAATCTAAGTGGACACATTAGTACTGCTCGTGGACTCTACTTATCTTTAATAATTGATTTTGTGGAAGCCCAAAAGTAGAGTAGCCACTCCAAGTCAACCATTCACTGTGGTCTATCCCAACAAGTTTATTTTTTACTCGAGACTTCTAGAGGGTTGCTGACATCTACAATCGCTAGCTAGAGAGGTCTGAAATGGACATGTAAGGTTAGAGAAATTCTAGGAGTATGACATATATGTTATGCATACGTTTCTTTCAAGTGCAGGAGTCGACAAGGTTTTCAAGGCAGGACATGATGATGGCGGGGAGAGTCTTAGCCATGGAGAGTGCACTGGCACTATCAAGACCCACATGCCCGTGCCTTTCTCGGCCAAGAAATGTCAGGACTTCAATGAGTGTCACCATGAGATACCTGATAAGTCTCTGCAGGTCCTCTACATTCATTGACCATTCATCATTCATTGCATAATGCTTGTTGACCGGTCGCAGCTAAGCTGGTCCTCTCGATACATCTCCATGAGCTGTAGTGGTCAACTACGGCTTGGTATTATTATTTTTCGGCAGGGAATTGGACCAGCACGAAGATATGAAATCACCAAGTATTTTAGCGCTTAATGCAAGGGTAGATGTATCGCGTATCACGAGCCTCATGTTCGAGGAATCACTCTCCGATGAAGAACACAGGATATATTAACTACGTTGCATGCGCCATGCACGTACGCAGGATTATAGTATACGTACTTTTAGATTGGCAAGCCTACATTTGATTCATCATCATATATCATCGTGACGTATTTGAGCTAGCATGCATGACCTACAAGGAGCACTCACGTAAAGGCGACAAGTAGGGACCCGAAACCTGTTCCCTGGTCGAGAGATCTGCTCGAGGTGGGGCGGTGCCTGATCGATTTAGTGCACCCAAACTCCACCGTTTTCTCACTCGTGGAGCACGAGGAATGGTCATCGGCCATCAAACAACACCTAAAGGCTTATCATCTCAGCTTTCATGGCTCGTCAAACATCTCATCCCTGTTTACGCGTCATCATAAGTTCACGGACAATAACATACTTAGCACCTCAACAACACGAAAACTATAAGCATCAAACTAAAGCGATTCTCGTGTCAGTGGCCAAGAAGATGAGAGGTACATGCACTCTTTTGCAAAGGAAAATGCTAATTGGGAGGGAGGACGATGCGTGGGGTTTAACATCATTGATGACATTTTTATAGAGTTGATGTCTCGGCAGATGAATGCTTGCATTGGATTATGATGTCCGAGTGCTACATGTTTCTTTAGGAATTGAGTGCTGCAGATTTTGACAAAGGATGGGAGCACAGAGAGAGGCCAAACAGTCAAAATTGGAGACATTTATCATGTTGTTCCTATGAAATTATTTCTCAAATGGTTCATCTAAACTGCATATAGTATATATAACATACTATATATGATGACTTATAAGTTATCTTTCTTAAATGTGATATGTTTATTGATTAAAGCAAATCAACAATGGTATGAATAAAAGTAGATGATTAGATTGTCAAAATGAGCATATTACCTAATGTTAGATATGATAATGAATGAAGGTCAACATTACTATATCATATATCTATAAATACATATCGATTCTTAAAGTAAAGAAGGTCAACTTTTCTTTTTTTTTTTGTTTGAACATACTATTAAATATGTAGTATAATACATCATGAAATTATTGTTTTGTCCTCTGCTTGAAGTATTATAGTAAAGTGTGGATGACTAAGTCAAATTCGGTTACTATTGACATGGATTTCCAAGGAATTGACATGACATGGTACCAATATTATAACTACACAATTTTGGCATATCAATGGTCTGACAACTACAGATGTTGGTAGTCACAGTTTGGTCACTATGTGATATATGACCATCTTAATCACCACATGGCTATGTGTCATTGTTACATGACTCGCATGTGGTCGTCACATCATCACCATATTCTTTGTTGTCCCCATGGCAACTATTTAATCCTTTTACGTTGTACGACCCATCCAATCGTATTAATCGTGTTAGGTAGAGGCTAACACAAATACTCTTGACGAGAAGACTAATCTCGTTTTCTCGTGCTCTCGAAGCGCTTGCAACACCTGATTTGATATGTCTTGTTTGGTTCTTTGCGTCTTATTTGTTTTACTGTAGGGTTTTTGACTGGACAACGAGAGTTGGCCGTGAGCTATGCAATGCCATACACATGGAGGAGTCGTGTGAAGCTTAGCTTCCAACTTCATCCGATAACTCTCATCCGGTTAGTTTTCTTGCAGGGCCATTCATTCTCAGTCAAACGTAGCAACACTGGAGCAATAAATGAGATGTGTTTGATTACAGAGTAGAGGCATCACAAATCACTTCCGAGCATCATCTTTTTCTGCAGGATTGCCCTACCGAGACTTGCAGCCTGAGGTGACACCTTTGACTATATGGTGTACAGGGGTGGTTATGATCAATCCAAATTCTTTTTCTTTAAGGAAAGTTGGGTTGTCCCGTCGGAGCTAATCATGCGATGGCAATGGCTATCAACCTGCGGTAAGCATGGTGCCACGCAGATGTTTAAAAAGTCAGTGTTGGCTGCTTCTCCATTTCTCCTAAAATGAAGGTTGCTTTTCATTCATCATGCAGGAACGGGGCTGATGCTCTCTTCTTCCTCTCATGCTTCCTTCGATCCCATGGCTTTTACACGAGAAATGGCTGTGGGTATTCGTTTCTTGTGTTGTTCGACCTCCGTGAGATAGCAGTCGTGACAGAATTTGGCGTTGCGGATCGTTGACCTTCACTGCACGTCTACCGAAGTAATTCCTCACTTCCGAAGCACACAGTTATTGCAAGCTTGTCCTACGCGAAACAGCCATAAAAATCTTTCTCCATCATGGTCATGGTGACGTTGTCATTATATCTACATGACGATCGAAGATAGCACAAATGCTCATGCCTCGCCTAGGTATCCGAACATACATTGGAATTGGCTCTCTTTCTCGCAGGATCCAACCGTATTCAATTGATATGAGGTCGATGTTTTCCAGGGAGGAGGAGGAGGAGAAGACAAGGGTTTCAGCGGTAGATTGTGTGTTGGGAACCAACACATCCCAACGCTCTTGTTCCATATTCCTTGCTGTTTTAGGAAGGAAAATTTAGGGTTCTTACGGAGCAATGCTAATGCCGCTTCTCATGCAAATATTCTAGGCAAGTGGGGTGGGTGGGTGGCATCTCATCCGTCAGCACCTTTTTCTGACGTGGCCTAATGAGAAGCTGCCGTGAAAGTGTTGTGGCCCTTCTCGTGAGATTAGACGTGAAGGTGGGAGAGTCGTTCAAGTTTAGGATTAAGGATTTCCAATTACTGTTTCAGCATCCCACAAAGATGTTCCAGCTGGGTTATAATATGATCATCCTCGAAGAACATTATACTCTCTTCTTCTTTCGTGCAGATGCTGAAAACACTGTTACGGTGGAACAATTATTAGAGAAGGAAGATAATAATGTGGTAAGGCTCAGCAAAAAGTTGCAATTATTAGAGAAGGTATTGGAGTCCAAAGAGACACCAGTGGGACAAGTTAACCGGTTTGGTAATGGTATCTTGTGCCTCCTCTGCTTCTCAGGCTTGTTTGCTGCACAGATATGTCTGTCTGAAAGATGTGATGTAGTGGCTGAGCCAAAAGAATGCACCACTTTTTGGATATTCCTGTAGGAGCGCCCTAAGAGCAAGCAAGCATCGATGCCATCGAAGACACACTGACACCTTCGCCTCCACAGTAACTACGTCCAATGGCACATCTCCAGCTCTCGGCCATGGAATTGGCAACTGTCCGGCTTCAACTCATCCGTCACCCAACCTTTCTCTCCTTTCCAACAGCTTGCTGTGCCTTTAGGCAAGTCTGTGGCTTTTCTCCCCTCCTTTAGATACCGCCTTAACATGGCACAGATCTCAGGTGGAGCAAACGTAGATCCTCCAAGACGAAGAGAGAGGACATGGGACGACCAGATGGCTCTTTTGGAGACCACTTGAGAGCTCAAACCGGCCTCATGATCCAAACAATGACACTTAGCATCCAAATGCATGCACCAGGCCTCCATTACTCCTTCGCAGATGCTGAGAGCACAGAGGAAAGGAAGAGAGAGCGAGAGAGAGGTGTCATAATAGCTGTCTTCCTTCTCCGGACAGCATCTTTTTCTTGAAGCGACTCTTCGAGTTACATTTCATGTATTTTTTTCATTTAAGACCCCTCAAAAATCTCTTATTGACCAAAATACCTCCAAAATTCACTAACCCGTTTAAGCTAATTTATGTGAATATGTATGATATGGAGATAGAAATAATTGAAATGCGATATATTACTATAATGTCAATTTTATGTGATTTGAAGTGCAAAAATTTGGTCGCGGATATCAATCGTGGTCGGACAACGTTAGCAATGATATCATCTGTTTTGACTTTGAACCGGCCAATTCCGGTTGGGCCGGAGTAGGGCGTCAGGAACCGGTTCAGCGGGTTAATGATGGCTCGTAAGGGCCTTAAGTGGATATAAACATCCGAGGTAGGGGCTTTTATGGAAATATACCATTTTCTTTCGTTTTTCTTGTTGATGGGGGCCAGCTGGCCGCCCTGATTCTCTCACAGCTCGCCACGTACCGCTCACCTGTGGTGATCGCCCTTTGACGACGTGGACTCCACCACCCACCACTTACCTACTTATATACCTCCCCGTCTCGCCCAACCCGCAGCTCCGTGGACTCGTCACTGCTCCTCCCACCCCCACTCCCTGCTTCTTCGCGACCCGTGTCCTCTCTCTCTCGCTCTCTCTCTCGCTCGCTCTCTCGCAACAGTGTGCGAGGCTACGGGAACGAGATGCCTTCCGATCGTGACCTAGAGGCTGGTAGTCATGATAATATCAATGGAGGAGTTGCCACCGCAAGAGTGAACTCCATCACCTCCTCTGCTTCTTGCTTCCCATTCACTCTTAAAGTACTACTTCTCTGTCATTCATCTTACCTCACTTGTACGCGTTCCGACGTGATCCGCTAACGGAGAAGTCGATACCTGATCTTCTTTTATCATGTGTGTAGTTTATGGATGTTTCCTACCGCCTCAAGCTCGATCCGATGTCGGGTTCCGGAGGTAATGGAATCAGGCGCATCCTCCACTCCGCTGGCGGTTCCTCTGCAGCTCCTGAAGAGAGAGTTATCCTCAATGGCATCAGCGGCATGGTGTCGCCCGGTGAGATGCTCGCCATCCTCGGGCCCTCCGGCAGCGGGAAGTCCACTCTGCTTAGCATCCTCGCGGGCCGACTGCAAGGAAAACACACCGGCACCGTGCTCGCCAACGGCCACCGGCTCACGAAGTCCGTCCTGCGACGGACCGGCTTCGTGACGCAGGACGACGTGCTCTACCCGCATTTGACCGTGCGAGAGACGCTGGTGTTCTGCGCCATGCTCCGGCTGCCGAGGACGGTGGAGAAGACGGATAAGGTGGCGTCTGCCGAGGCGGTGATAGCGGAGCTGGGGCTGTCCAAGTGTGCTGACACCTCGGTGGGCGGGCCGTTCGTGCGGGGGATCTCCGGCGGGGAGCGGAAGCGGGTGTGCATCGGGCACGAGATGCTGGTGAACCCGAGCCTGTTGCTGCTCGACGAGCCGACGTCGGGGCTGGACTCGACGGCGGCGAGCCGGCTGGTGGCGACGCTGGGCGGGCTCGCGAGGCAAGGCAGGACGGTGGTGACGTCGGTGCACCAGCCGGCGAGCCGGGTGTACCAGATGTTCGATTCGGTGCTGCTGCTCTCGGAGGGCAGCTGCTTGTACTTCGGCAAGGCCAGGGACGCCGTGGACTATTTTGGCTCTGTTGGCTTTGCTCCAAAGTTCCATGTCAACCCCGCTGACTTCATGCTGGATTTGGCCAATGGTCAGTATATCTACTCCAATTCCCTTCATGTTTTTTTGCTTATGCATCAATCTTTAGTATATATATATATATATATATATACATATGCATATGTATATTTTTTTTGGAAGATCTCATACCCCTCAATAGATGAAATTCCAAGACATGTTAAATGAAACTAAATCAACATCCTGTGTTCTTGCAGAAAACAAAGATCAAACAGTAAGTAATATAAAAAGGTGTTTAGGTGTTAGATTATTTCTGGCAGATTCCTGTCTACATAAACTTTTTTAGCTAAATAAACACAAAACAAGAAGAGAAAAATCTCAAAACCATGCAACACGCAAGTCAAAATCCCTTAAAATTTCCAACTTTGATGAGTTTTGCCATTTGGAGTAGAGAAAGGTGGGAATTATATTAGTGATGGAAATCAGAATAATAGGTGTATTATTACATGCAAATCCATCTGCACATGCTTTGTGCTTGGCATCTACAATTCCAAAAGATGTGGTTCTTATTCTTCTCTCTTTACTCTTTAGACTTTGTTATGAGAGGTATGTGCACGAGTAGTGAGTCAAAGAGCAATGATACCCTCTTTGTGGGTGCTAGATTTGGTTCGGTATTTGCTGCTTTTGGTAGCTACCTCATGTAGAGTGTGGCATGGGCAATGCCAATGGCTGATACAGAGACCTTGCTGCAGTGTCTTGGTGCATAAACAAGCTAAGGTAAACAAGAGGAATCGTTGGGAGAGATGCTGTGATGAGATTGTTTAGGATCAGAGGTATAAAGCCTGTGTCCTCCTTGTGCTGCTCTTCTCCTCCATTGCCTCACTTTGGGCACCCAATAAACTAGAGAAGAGCATTGTTTCCTTGGGTCACACAGTCCTCTCCGTGATGCTAAATCTAATTAGGGGAGTGTGATGTGTTTTACTTATCCGAAGCTATAATCTTCGAATGCTTTGGTTGGATGGCTGTGCTTCATGACCACTCAGAGGACACCTGGTGGAGGTAGTGGGGGAATAAATGGATGATATCAATAAGTAGTAGTAGTACACCTTGTCTGGTTGAGGCAGATGATAGTGTTTGTTTTTGGGTCTACTTTATCTCTTTTTTGGCTTTCCTTTTGCAAGGAATTGACCCAACTTTTCTTGGCCCTTCCTTCTCTATCTAAAAACTGGATGTGAGATGTACCCTTGTGAAAAGGATTAATAATAAATGTGTTCTTATCCTTGCAAGCTGAGACACTATTTGTCTGACCCATCTTTAATTATTGGGTAGTAAAAGAAGCAAGCTTTGAAAGTAATTATTTAAAATATTGAGAAAAAATCAAGAGAGAAAAGTTATAAGAATAAAGTTTTAGCTTATGTTGAAAACCATGCAGGTTTAGGGACCAGCTTTAATTAGATGTTCTGTTGACTGAGCCCCCACTTGAAGCTTTGAGCTTTCTCTTGTGAAGGAAGAGAGCAAGCCTGAAAGTGACTGCATGCTTATTTAACTCAATGGCATTACCACAATGATCATTTAATACCCAATGTGTGGAGAACACAGTAAGGTTTCAGACATCCTAATCTGTTGTTGGTGTTCCACAAATCTTCTGCATGATTGTTCACTTGATCATTCTTTGGCATATAGAAAGAGGAGTCAAGAAAAGTGGGGTTGGAAACCAGAAATCAAGTTGTGTGCTGGCTGCATCCCTGAAAGTGTGATGGACCACCTGGACCACCCACAGCACTATCACCAGGAAACAACCTAGGCCAACCAGTTCTACTTTTCCATGTGTGTTCTTTTGATTTGGACCTTGATGATTCCCAAGTTTCCTCAGCTTGAACTTGGATGAAGAATCATGTAAGATCAGAGTTTACATCTTAAACCCTCACTGGATGTGGTGGTGGTCCTTGTTGTTTCAGGGGTCACTCAAACAGATTACCAGGGTGATGCAGAGAAGTCAGCTGTGAAGCAGTCTCTGGTCTCGTCTTACAACAGTGTGTTGGCACCAAAGGTGAGGGCGGGGCTGACTGCTGCTGTCCCCAGAAATGCCACTCACACAGGTAGGAATTGTTTGATGCTTGAATCGAATGTTGCATCATAGTGTGTAGTTGATCGAGAAGAGGTTGTGATGTGACGGAGTTTTGGGCTCTCTTGATGAAGCAGGGAAGGATGTCTGTGTCGAGAGAGGGAGGAAGGAGCAGAGGAGCATCAGCTGGTGCAGCCAGTTCTCCATCCTCCTCCAGAGAAGCCTCAAGGAGAGGCGGCACGAGTCCTTCAACTCCCTCCGAGTCTTCCAGGTCATGGCGGCCGCAGTACTCTCGGGGTCCATGTGGTGGCACTCCAGCATCCGTGACGTCCAAGACCGGCTCGGCCTCCTCTTCTTCATCACCATCTTCTGGGGCGTCTTCGCCTCCTTCAACGCCGTGTTCACGTTCCCGCAGGAGCGAGCCATCTTCATCAAGGAGCGGTCGTCCGGCATGTACAACTTGTCGTCCTACTTCATGGCGAGAATGGCGGGCGACCTGCCGATGGAACTCATCCTCCCCACCGTCTTCACCCTGATACTGTACTGGATGGCTGGGCTGAGAACAGAGCCAGGGGCGTTCCTGCTCACGCTCGCGGTGCTCCTCGGGTACGTGCTGGTGGCGCAGGGCCTTGGGCTGGTTCTCGGCGCCGCGATCATGGACGCGAAGCAGGCTTCCACCATCGCCACCGTCACCATGCTCGCCTTCCTGCTCACCGGGGGATTCTACGTGCAGAACATACCGAGCTGCCTGGCGTGGTTGAAGTACATCTCCTTCACCTTCTACTGCTACAGGCTTCTCATCATCATTCAGTACGGCGGCGGCCAAATGGATTACCTGCTCGCTTCGTCGCATCACAGGAACAAAAGGGACGCGGACGGCGAGCTGGTGGCGCAAGTCAGCACGTCGGTGTGCATCGCAGCGCTGCTCGCCATGTTCGTAGGGTACAGGGTCTTGGCGTACATGGCTCTCAGGCGCACCAAGGCATGAGCAGAGCAGTGATGATGGTGTGTCTGAGGCTTACCTACTACAATAAAGAAGACGAAGAAGTCCGGATGACGGAACACAGAAGCCAAAGTCGTGGGAAGTGAACAAGTGTATAGTTGTCGTGGAAACTGGGAGTGCGTAGGAAGCTAACAAGAAGCAGAGATCGATTCAAATGCTTGGTGAATAGGAATGCAGTCTGTGGTGCTTGTGCACTGTAAGGAAGCAGAAAGGTGCTTCTCCTTCGTGTCACGAGGATGAACACCAACATGATGAACCAAATAAAATGATTGTTCTTGTTTGATATCGTTGCTTTTCTTGGTTGGAATCAACTATCAAGGAAACTATTCGTTTCAAGTATCATATCTGATCTTGCAGTCATCATCTTATCATGAACATTAATGTTTGAGACAAGCTTTATGAGAGCTTTTAATTGCATCCATCGGTGAAAGGGAAGGCAGAAGAACAAAAAGGGTGCAGATGTATGCAAAAGAGAAGCCTTTATTCCTTGGCAAGTCAGCTGCATGGATCCTTGCTATTTGAAGAACAAAGTGATGCAGTATTATTATTATTTGTGTGAAGCGTACAATGAGAGCATATGCATGTCGGCAAGTCTCCTATTGCAGAGAACATTGCATCCAGAAAAGAAGATAACGTGAGGAATAATGTCTGCTCATCTCATGTTTTGCATCAGCAAACAGTAGGTTATTCACAATGCTAAGAGAACACACCCTTTATTCCACCAAATTGTCTTCCGCAGATTGCATGATCAGTGACTGTTTGAAAGGGTTAGACAGCACCGGTGGTTTCTCCTTTATTCGCATGACATCGATAGAAAAGAATGGTTGGAAGAAAATGATTGCTTTATATCGAGCCATTTATGTCACCATATGACAAGAATGGAAAGGTAGGCATATGAATTGTGGTAGTCATTTTCTTGGACACCATCTGCTGAGCCTCTTATTTCTAAAGCAGGATGTCAATGGGTTTTGGATATATGTCAGGTCAGAAACCAGCAATGGGAATGAGTATAACTTATTGACTGCTGAAGGATGTAAAAAAAAGAAATGGACCTTTTTTTCTCTTGGAGAGAGTCAGGAAAACTTCAAAGAATAAATGATAACTCTTTAGGACGGATTAGCGAGTTGCAATACTACTACTACTACACTTTAAATCTCCACAGCTAATTCTAGTCTACCACTTGAAACCCAGTGTCCATGAAACATCAGAAAGCATTTGTAAGTTGATTGAGATCTTAACATCTAGACCTTTCCTTGATTCTAATGTACAATAGAATAACAGACATGACTTGGTATAATCTCAAGCCAACCAAACTGAACTAATTTGATATTGACACAATTTTTTTATGTGACCGCTCGAGTAAACAATATATGGCTTTTTATGAACAGCTGCAACAAATACAGCAAACTGAACTATGATTTTTTATGGATTCTAGAAACTAAGCAAAACATATTGTCATCCAAGAGAGTTTTCAGCGTGCAAGAGAGTTGTTTCTTCGGTCTCCAGTAAAAAGGTCTTCGGTCCTAACAAAACGCACCAAAAGCCTGGCCATAACACATATATCTAAGTTAGCAAAGAAATGAAGCTTCAGGAAAAATGCCAACTAAATTTCTTAAAGGAGAGAAATCACCATAGGAAGGAAAAGGAAAAGGAAGTTAAGATCTCAAATTACAATAATCATCTTTAGCTGCTAGTACACAATCAACAGATTCCTATAAGGACCCAAAAATCCCCTTACAACACTCGGAAATCTCTGATAACCCAGTTCAGCTACTTGATACATCTGATGTGATCGCCTAATCACATTAGATGGTTTGGTCAAACATAGCTAATAGAGTATGTATGCTCAAATGTAATTAAAATATACTGATTAATGATGGTGGTGTTTCAAACGCCGAAAAACCCAGCTGAAGTCTTCCAAAGTAGGATGCTAATGCAGCTCTTCTTTCGAATAGATGGTACATGCAAAATCAAATGGCAATCTAAGATCAAGCATACATAACAGCTTGTGTTGAAGGTTGTTCAGTTCAGGCTGTTCAGCTAGCTAAGAAGAGGATTGCATGAATTAATGTTTTATTAAGGGGAGAAATAATGAAAAAAAATCTAATCATCTAATGATGAGCAACTGTTCAACAACGATAACAACAACAACAAAACTGTAAGTCTCAACTATTTAAAGTCAGTTACATAGATCTTTTGTCGTCGTTGATAACTGTAAAGTGTCATATGCCTAGTTAAATTCAAAGTACTTAAGTTTTTATTTATAGTTTCTATTAAAGCCTTTGTAGATCTTCCAATACCCTTTCTCGTACCACTAACATTAATCAATTCACCTCTTCTAACTAACCGCATCTAAAGGTCTCCTAGGTACATGCCCGTACCATCTTAAATGATTTTCTCTTATCTTATCCTTTATCGAAGTGATATCTGATTGTTCACAAATAAAAGTATTTCTTTTCTTATCTTTCCTAGTAACTCCATGGATCCATCTTAATATTTTCATCTTAACAAAACAAACTTTTTGTATACGTTGTTTCTTAATTGCCCAACACTCAGATCCTTAAAGTACTGTTGGTCTTACAACTATCTTATAAAATCTTTCCTTTAATCTCAAAGGTATCCAATGATTACATATAACTCCTGGCACCCCTTGTTATTTTAATCATTCTATTTTTACTCTATAATCTATACAAAATATCTTTATCAATTTCTTCATCTTGTTGAATAATTGATCCAAGATACTTAAGACTCTTATTTAAAGGAACTTCTTCTCCATCGAACTTAACCATATTCTCTTATCTATTCATAGAATTACTAAAAATGCATCTCATATATTCAGTTTTAGTCCTACTCTCAACTAGGAAATTATCAATTTCTCATAAAAGAGCAAATCCAAAATAACATGGACAAAAAATGCTAGTGAAAACATATAAGAATTAAGGTGCAGGTTGAAAGTTCATTACATAAGTTGAGTATCTACATTCTTTATAATAGAAATGTTGAGAATATGTTAAATAATTCAAAGCTTCTAGAGTTGGAAGAAGGCAGATGGATCACACATTTTAAAATAATAAATTAACTGCAGTTCACGAAGCAGAAGCTTAGAAGCAGCATTTATGTAGACATAAGATTAGCTTACCTTCAAGAGGTAATTTTTTGTAAATCTAGTTCAATTGCCACTCTTCCTTCTAGTTCTTAATTTCACAGCATCTTTTAAACTCTTTGGGCCTTTACTGTGCGGTCTCACGGCTGGAGCACCTAAGACTCTAGTGCTAGAACTAGAAGCACCTGTCGTATGCTCAACAGTATATTCAACTGTCATCTCATTGCTTGTAACAACATTGTGTTCCTTAACTTTAGTTGAAGGACCTGTACATCCATCAATGGTGATCTGTTACAAGTGGCAGAAGAACTTCCGCAACAATAATATTATTCAGAATGAAAACATGATAGACATCTTCAGAAGAAAACAATCAAAAGCAGGGGGAACGCAAGATTAAATCTCTTCCAAAAAGTCAAATGCCTAGGTTGATTGGTCTTGTTCAGCTCTTCTTTACTAGACGTTGCCACAAACTGTCACATGCTATGCATGTGTCTATATCCTATTGGCTAAAATCTGCAGCACTGAATTCTCACCAGTGCTTTGCAAGTGTCCTCACTGCTAAAAACATTTTAATACCAAAAAGTGTATATTATCATGTCAGACAACATAATTACTACTGTGCATTAGTATCCTAATAAAAATCTATCACTTAGCTGAAACAAAAACTTAATCAGGGCAAAAAACATTTTTCAGAAACAATGCTAAATCAAATTTTCATCGTTGCATCGATGCACAATGGCGGAACAGACATAGCAAGCTGTATCTTGGTTTCACATAGCTGAAACAAAAACTTAAATCAGGGGAAACAAAATTTTCAGGAAACATGCTAAATCAAATTTTCATCATTGCATAAAGGCACAATGGAGGAGCGAACGTAGCAAGCAGCAACTTGATTTCACAATAACTCATTTAACTGGAATAACTTTGATGCTTATGGATGGTTTGTGACAACTAGGTATTTGTTGGTTTACAAGAGTGATTATGTTATATGGATATTTAGAGCATAAACACAATCTGGCAAACTTTTAAGGGTATACATGCCCAAAAAATTTAACGTATAGATATCTTGGGGTTCAGATAAAAATATGGGAATAAAAGGTTGTGATTTTACCAGTCATCAAGGTATATTACTTGCCTGATGCCTTAATGAGACCACAAAAAAAAATCATAAAATCCATCTCAAGAGGTAGGACAATAGGGGGAAAAGTATTCAAATACTGCTAGAAAAAGAAATGGATGCAATTTTGCTCTCCTGTAAACTTTTTGTGATGGTTGCCAACTGGGTCATATAATATTCAAAAGACTATTGTTTTGCGTCAGTGAACAACTGCAAATCTTTATTATGGATTTTTCTTTAAGAATGTTTTCTTGAAGCCCAAAGCATCTTGTTATCTTGGTTTTCCCCCTCTTGGGTTTTCCTTCAGCTTCAAATCTCCCTTTTCCCACCAGTCTTCTAGAACTGGGCCAACTGATTGAACGAGTTGACCTGAGCATCTGTGTCACAGAACCTTATTTCTAGCCAAATCTCACACTCTTAAAATTCAGCTCATCTTAATCAAGATCACATTCAACTCAAGAAAACACCAAAACAATCATAACAATAACTGCCTACTATCACAGACTTCAGATAAGTAAGAATCAGCTAGGATGTTTATGAGTGACAAAATTCTGTTAAATTACATACACAATATTTATAATTTTGTATTCTGAGGGTATTCCCACCTTTTTGTAGTCAGAGAGCAAGGTAACAGTTGATAGCATCCCTACAAAATAAATTGCATGTATTCCTAAGAGGATCACTAACCATATGTAGTCAAGTGATGTAACCACCAAGAGGATCCCTACCTTTATGTAATAGCATATTATGTTCGACTACCTGAGACACAAATCATGTCTTCTGGGACTCAAATTATTGATCATAAAGTTCAAAATGTTTAGCTTCAAATTTAGAATTAACGAATCATACATCCCAAGAGGCATACAACAATTCACAATACATATTTCATAGTTTTTCTCTGTCTTTATACTAGATTAGAATGTTTCATGAGTTCCTGAATATTACAGATTTTTAGTTATTCTTATATTATTATTTTTCTCATTTTTACATTTTTAATTTTATTGAATTTCTAATACATATTATAAATCTCACCAAACTGAAATCTCAGTAATCCATATCACCTACTCTGGATCTTGATACAATTCTTCAAAAATCTACTCTTGATCCTGTTTTCAACTTTTTAAGCATTCACAAACAAGACTAGATTGAATGCATGGATAAGAAAAAAATATTGACAAATGTGATTCAAAAGTTTAAACCTTGTTCCTGAAAAGGTAAATACATTGCTAACTAAAATTTACTAATCGTAAGGGGCAAATATCTCTGATGCCTGGAGTGTTGTGCACTATTTAATGGCTAACTGACTAGAACCATCTTTGGACTCACATAATTGGCAGAAAAAATAGCTGGATATAAATTCAACCAGGGGCAACAAAATGATGCAGAGGACAAGCATGTCCTAAAAGATCAAGTTATACCAGGTAAAGTTGGAAAGCTTGTAGCCAAACGTGAAGAAATCCCCCTTGAGTATGGATCCCTAAAATTGGAATAGATAATTCTTCACATGATAAATACAACTAAAATAAAGTTTAAGATTCAACACTGGAATATATAGTAATATAACAAAAGAAACACAATTATACAGAAAAGTTACCAATTTGCAGGACCACGAACAAATGCACGAGTATATCTTCCTTGGCTAATGCTCTCGTGCTTTGTTCTTGTGTCAACTGCCAACGCATCACCTTGATTAGAGTTCTCTAGTTCATCCAATGGCATATATGCTAGATGTTCTATTAAGTTCTCAACTTGTTTCTCCTTCATGATGACATCAGAAAGACTAACTTGGTTTGCCACTTCTAATAAATAATGGTTAGCCTTCTGTGATGCTCTCTCAGTGTTGTATATCTCTACCTGAAAATCCAGTAGAACAATTTTATACAACTGCCAGAGAGTTGGCTAACATAAAATAAAAAAGTTCTCCGAGATCAATGACAAGTTACTAGGTCATATGTGTTGTATGGTCTCACAGAAATATATATCAAATACTCCAAAACATCCTTTAAGGGAAGTTATTGTGGACAATTAATCCAAGAATTATACTCAGACAACAAAAAAAGGCTCCACCATTGGGTTCAGGAATTTGGTTGGGATAATAAATTTTGCTATTGTTGTTGCACAATAATTTATTTAATTGATAGTCACAGGTCTACTGTTAGATAATAAGATAATCAGCAAAAAATTCCTTTATTAATTTATAGCTAGCTATCCAATGCTCCATATAAGAAAAATAGTTGTATTATGTACTTGAACCCCCTCACATGGTGGCCCCTTTGGTTATGCAAATTTTTTTTTTCTAGCAGGATTGCATTTTTGAAAGTTCGAGTTTTAACAAGAATACTTCACTCCGACAATTATAAATAAGAAAGCATGCAAGTCCAAGAGGCATATTGGTAAATCATTATCTTATTTAAAAAATTAATCATTACTTATCCTTGTTGAGCATTGTGAATCATTATCTTACTTCAAAACTAATCTTTACTTTAGTTATCTTTGTTTAGCATTGGTATCCATACTTAATAGCTTTGGGTATAACTCTCTCCCATGAAGTAGATAATCAAAAAGAGCACCAGTAATTGATATATGTTAGAAGAGGATCATTACATGAACAAAACACCCTGCTATACATAGAACTTAGCAGTACAATCAACCCAAAAAAGAAGGAACATCTCATATGCAAATCATAGTTCATTCAATCATAATATCAGAAAGAACCTAGATATGCTATTAAATCCAATAACCATTTTTTAGTTATCATATAGGCATAGAAATATTATGATGATACAAGAGCTAAAATTAGAAATACAAGCCCATATGCACATACTGACTAAAACTACTCCACAAGGAAGGATATGCCATATGCAATTCTGAGCCATGCAACCATGAAAACAACTAAACATCCTACAGTTTTAGCCAACCACACTTGTCATGCTCTTACAGATAAAAACCTACCATATGTACAAAATTCTATCACATCTAAACAAACAAGCAAACACAAAAGAGAGGATCTTGTCAGACTCACTGCATGCTTTATTTTACTTGTAATATCAGCAGCTTTCGCAGAAGCAATTTGTAAACACTGCATTATTATGCTTGACATGACACCCACTCCTCCAGCCTTCTGAACAGCACAAATGTCACCATTCGAGTTCATTGTAAAAGTCATCTTGCCGCCCATCACCATCTCTTCCTTATGTGTTGGATCAATCACCTAGAGAACATAATATTCCAGATCAGTTGGCATGAACTAGAAAAAACTAGTTCATTACCTCTAGCAAAAATTTTAAGAAGTTGATTTTGAACGTACTCTTCATCATACCATGATGTTACCCTCACCAAAAACTGCAAAAGTTACTGCAATAGGAAGATGATGGATTATTAGAGGCAATGGTTCCCTAACCTGAAAAAATATGAGATAAATAATGATATATTTGCATGTTTGCTAAAATAGGCATTCTGGTTTTGAAGTTTAGCTAGTGAAATAAAGCTAAACAAGAAATTTTAAGATAATTTAGACATACAGCTTATGGTAGCCATATATGGCAAAGAACTTTTGAATTTTACATTGAGGTGATAAGATTTGACTTAACCTCAGCATCATGCATTATGAGCTCCTGACCATCATCACCTCCTAATGTACAATCAGGCCTCCGAAACGTCAAGAGGGCAACCAAAGCGGCGATATTAGCAGCATCAATGAGATTTCTAATTATTAGAAACAGACAATCAGCATTTGAAAGAAGAATATTGCTTAAAAGGATATTATTTAGAAACTACAACTCCTTTCCATACCCTCCATTATCAACAATGTGAAGATCCACACGTATGGACCATACTGATTTCCCTACAACAACACATAACGATTCCATATCCATAGCGCTGCTTTCCCTGTAATATAACTTTATTTTAAGTAGATTGTAGTTTGTCCATAATTTGAATTGAAAATGATTCCATTATTTTTATGCCCAATATCAAGCCCGCTAGTGTGAAATCATGTATGTAAGATCTTTAGCATGTTGGAGTATCAATATGCACCAATACATTACAACAAAACTCACCGAAGTCCACGATCTATAACACGGCCAAGTTCAACAGCAAATTCTCCAGGACGTCCTGCCTCAAAAGATGGATCAGCCATTGGTGAAAATTCAGTAAAAATTGAGAGAGTCCCTTCATTTGGCCTATCTCGATAAGGTTGCACCAGCTGAGAAGTCACGTAGCTCATCACACGTGTCTGACCTAGTTGCACTTCTGATAAACCCTGTTCTCTGCAGGTAAAACTAAGTCCTGACTAATGACTTTTGAAAGCTAGTCATTTAATGATGCACATACAGTGTTCAAAGTGAATACAAGGACACAAAGCTTATATCTCTTACATGGGAACTTACAGTAGGCAGGTACAAATGACAGTAGAAGCTACCATTGGAATAACAGATAATGTGTCAGTTAAACACTGATATACAAGTGTACATAAATGTCGTATGAACACATCAGAAACCAGAACCTGTAGATAACATAGATCAAGAATATGTAAAAGTGACAAGAAAAAGGTGTAGCAAGACAACTAAGAAAATTAAGAATGAAAAAACCATGTACATATCTCCAGAAGATGCATTTCTACTCGCTATTAGTAAATTCCAACCAAAAACTTAAAAAGAGAAAAACACTAAAAGGAAGAAAGCAAGTGAAAATTTTCCTTTCTCACTTGTTCTTGTAAGATACACCAAATCATTTTCAGTTACAACTTTTTTTCCAATTTGAGGAACGGGAGGGAGGGTTACTTTGGCATCCCCAATCCACTAAATGTAACCAAATCAACAAGGACAGTATTCCAATTTGGTTCTCACCTCACCTACAATTATAAACATGCTTTCTCTCCGGCAGGTAAAATACTTGGAGGCAACCAAGAAGAGTTGCACAATCATCGCAGGAAACTAATCTAAGCACGGGCATAGTAAGTCTCATACTATTTCAATGGTATTCTAATTGTAAAATAGTTCCTTTTGAACAAAGATGTGATCACACAAGATTTAGTATCTATTAATTCTTAGGCACTTAAAATGAAGAATAGACACAGTTTTATAAAGTTCCTCAGACTTAGGACGAACCATATCTTAATCGGTGAATCTGACACGAACGTAAAAAGAACCAAAGATAGGCGACAAAGAAACGGGGATTCTCCCTTATAATGACATTAATACTTTGGAGACTCCGTTTCCATTATTGTGACCAGACCACATATGGATCTTTACCTTCTTAAAACTGGCAAAACCGAGGAGCTATGTATGAATCTCCAAGAAAAAGGAACAAGAATTAGAGCAGGGTAGGGTGGCGAAAGAAACACATGCCTCCCGAACTTAATGGTCAAATCACGGTAATCGAAGGGGCGGCGGCCGTCAACTCGGAGGTCGGAAGCGAGCACGCTCTCTATGAACTTCTTCTCGTTATTGGTCATCCGCCAAGTATTTGCTAATCTCTGCTCCATCTTTTCCGCTTCACTTGAAATCTTCAAAGAGAGTGGGGATAAGAAGAAAAAGAGGGGGAATAGGTTTGAGATACAGAAAAAATTCTCCACGAAATACTTCAAACCCTAAATAAAGGAGGGGAGGGACGAGCAGAGTGAAGAGAGAGGGAAAAAAGAACGCCTCTGTAAGCGACAAAGCGTTGTTGGTTTTGTTGGTGTCTGTGGCTTTGTTTCGAGCCACATTAACCACTAAGCAAAGTAATCACAAATCGGGCCACGAGGAAATAAAGACAGTATCCAATCTCGGTGTTATTTTCTTGGAATCGATAATATATATTTGTTTGGTATTAGACTCGACCCAAATCGGTTTAAATCTGATGTGGATACATTTAATATATTTTATAATAAAAAAATCCAAGTTATATTCTAATACCTAAAATTAAAATAGTGAATACCCTAATAATAATTATCAATTATAATATAAGGAATGATAATAGGATGGATTTTTTCCGAACATTCTAAATCAGGTTTAGTATCCTTCAATCTGGTCCGATGACGGCAGCATGCAATAACCTAATGTATGATCTTAAGAAATAAGATTGCACCGACAAGAAATTTGATGTGATATGATACAATATGGAACTCAAAACACTTTAATGATGGATTAAGCAAAATACATCTAGAGACAATAAGCTGTAAGAACAATCGACGTTATTGAGGAACAGAAACAAACAAAACCATCCGAGAGCAGATTCACTTGTATAAACATCTCATGGATAGATAACTAATAGTATATCAGTTAGCAAAATACATCAAAACTAACAATAGATACAACAAAGGAAAAGACTTCACAGTACCTGCACGATTTTTGGTAGATTGCCTTGAGAATAATTATATAAATATAGAAGATGTTACATATTTATGTTCCCCCTAGTTGGGCGACAAACATGGTTTCTCTTCCTGGCATGTTCTTCATTGTGTTGTTGGGTACGACAGAGATTACCATACCAGCAGTTATCCCTGTTCGACGCATCAGGTGGGAGAAGCTGAACAGTGGACCACCAAAGATAAGCACGACAGACAATGTTAGTATTCATCAACTTCATAATCTATTATTCATCTGAGAGCGGATAACATCCAATAATAGAATTAAACAAGAAATGTTTCATCAAACATTGAGTGGACTGAATCACTTCCGAAATTTCTCATTGGTGATTCACTCCACCTGGATAGTGTTTTCCAAACTCTGATGGCAATTAAGATGTTGCACATAAACACTTCCGTAAACAATAGGTATCTGGCACTCGTCACAGATTATCAAAATAAAATATCTTCCAGGCCATTGTATCTACCATTATTTTTATCATAAGACAAGGGTTGCAAGTGCATTGTAATATCCTATACATTTAAAACATTATACCTTTTTCTAGTGGAATAAATTCTGATCCCAACATGAACAATTCTATTTCTTAGAAAAAAAGGTAAATACTAGAAACTTTTTCATAAATTTGATGAGTCCATTTTTAATTTAATGTAAAAATGAAAATGGCATACCTTAATTACTCTGATCAAAGAATATAAACCTTTTGATGAGATATAAGAATGATGAAATTGCATATAACTGATCAAACCCACCAAATTGCAGCCATATTGAAATACTTATGCCAAAAAAATTAGTGAATATTGATTTCAAAGGGGATTTTGGATCAAGAGCTTTCAACAGAATTGCATGAATCTTTGCAGTATCAATATCTTGCACAAACATATTTATAGGTATGTGTTTAAATATCAGCATCTGATTCTGAGTAGGCATGTGTTTTGGAGAATTCATGTTTCTTTGGTTGCTTTCTAATGCAAACAAGAACTTAGAAAGGATGGTGAAGACTCTTTATCATGCAAGTAACTATTAATGTAATCTTATTTTGAACTGGCCCTTTTAACTTCTTGTCACTGCAGAAGCGTGCAAATATAAATTCAGCAGCACATACATAAAATCCATGCCAATAAGCACAGATCTACAAGCTATAGGTGAATGCCTAACACTTCGAAGTGCCATAAAAGTCTTAACAGAAATTGTCAAAAAGCACTTACATGACTAGGCAATGACACGCGAAACCAGTATAACAGATAATCAACCAATTTGTTATAACAATCACTGCATCCATTTGAAACGAATAATTAACAAAATATTTTGATAAAGATGAACACTGACACAATTTTAAACCAAAAAGATGATTTAGAAGTCACACATACAACCTAATGGCAATCAACTGTTTAACAAATGACAACTTACGAGTTACAAAAGCTAATGAAAAGCTCACCTCTAGTTACTAACAAAAACAATCTTAGTTCACTATGTCACCTATAGACCCAAAATAAACACACCTACTGCCATGGGATAAACAGTTGTAGTCTTTGAGAGAATGAGCATTCTAAATCATATTAAAATAGCAGAAAGTATGTAAAAATGACGAGGCCTGCAAACAAAGAAATGTTTAATGTAGGGGTGCATATGATCATGCCAACAAGTTTCCTTCAGAAGAACTAGATTACCCCAGGTTCATCCCAAGCTCAGCTTGTAAGAATCAGGCCCAACAGAAAATTGACTACAAAATGCTTAGGGTATCATAAAATATTATTTTATCATTATATAGTCGTGCCTAGTATTCTCAATCTAATGTATGTTGCTCCCAACTTGTCCTGCACACCGGTATGCAGCATCACTACCTAGCCATTGTCCTTGACTGAGATGCCACGAAAGGCCTGCAACCCACTCAGTTGCTATTAACCATGCTGCACATCTCTGAAGATCTCCTTTCTCTGTCTTAATGTATCAAAGCCTAAATAGTTCACTGCTTCAGTCAATTGACCACTTTGAGCCTGCAACCCACTCAGTTGCTATTAACCATGCTGCACATCTCTGAAGATCTCCTTTCTCGTCTTAATGTATCAAGCCTAAATAGTTCACTTCTTCAGTCAATTGACCACTATGAGCGATTTGATATTGAGATTCTGAATTTCTATTTTTTTAGATTCTGAACTTCTTGATTTTCAATGTGGAGCAACCTTTTTCATCTGTAAAGTAATTTGAGGGTCATGGAAAATTTTAGAAGTAGCCCACAAGTAACCTCATCATCTCACCCTTAAATGTCAACAAACTATAAATACCCCTCGAACATGTTCCCTTTCCCTTCAAATCCCTTGCTAATGAAAAAGACCCTTGAAACAAGTCTGTGCCAAACCAGAACATAAGTATGCCAATAATCAACTGAACTATTTTCTCAAACAGAATTCAGTTTGAGCAGAGAATGAAGAGCTGAAAACATAGACTGAGCTCATATGTAACACATTTAACAGCTTCATCCAGGTTTAACATAAAACTGACAACTGTTTCCATATAGTAACATAAACAAAACAAAAAAAACTATATTTAGATTGTTTAAAAGTGTATTATATTGATTAAGTAGCATTATATTTATTAAGCAGCATGACTAAAAGTTTGGAGCAATGCATTTCATCAGGCGATAAACGAATTGGAAGAAGGTCCTATTAGAGCCGTCAATCTTCAATAAATCTGTGATCTCATAAAAAATGACATCTCTTGATATCACTAACTTAAGGTCCTACTAGAGCCATCAATCGTCAATAAATCTGTGATCTCATAAAAAAGACATCTCTTAATATCACTTGTTAGTCAAACAAGCTACTTGCTTTATTGCCAAAGTACAGCCAAGGTTCGAAAAAAATGAGTCCCATGTGGTGTAAGTCTGCAAGTACTAAAAAATGTTTTGATGTTACGCAGCTGGGCCTTTCATTTTTTGACTTTTATTCAAATCCCTCTACTGACCGCTGTTCACCACCAATCACCTCTCTTAAGATTCCTTTGATCAAGATTCAGGCAATACAGTTCCCCACTTCCGGCTCCTCTTTTGTCAAGTGGAAAGAGAATTATCCACTCATACTTAGTAAACACAAAAATGATATTGTATGATTGCATTGTAAAAGATAATCAAGCATGATAAATCTTCCCGCCACCCGACAAGAATTCAAATGAAATTTTTACTAAAGGTTAGATTCTTAAGTACCCTACACCATCAATCCCTGATTGGCAGGATCTGTGTACATGCAGAAAGATTGTGACCAATATACAATCTATCAAGATAGGCAGGACTTCAGAATTCAGAATCTGATACACTCTCTCTATGTGTCTAACATGCATGGATTATCCACAACTAAGCTATGCTTCTATCTTGAAAGCAGATACAATGGTCACTGGCTCCACTGAGATTTCTTGACCTACTGAATATAGTACACATAAGATATAAGACTCAGCACATGCAAAGATCATAATAGGCATTGTCAGAGGTAATGTGAATAGGAACATGTTTTGATAATGCAGTTATTCCAGAGTGGGGAATTACATATGCAATTTCTCATGCAAGATCTACCAAGGGGGACAAAAAAAGAGAGCTGGCAAATTTGCACCTGCCTATTTAGTCCTTACCCAGGATGCTCATGTACAATAGTAAAAAATCTGGTAAAGAAACAAACAAATTCTGACAGCACAGTTTAAAAACACATCTACCAGTTCAAGTACCTAATACTGCTGCATTTAGCCAAGTTTATATCTTTAAAATGCATAATCAAGAATAAATTTTCACTCTAGGAATTCAAAGAATCAAAAGAGATGGTGTTTAAATCTTCCAAATCAATAAAACACTATAAAAAGGGGTAAAAAATTGAAACTATGTAATGCTTTATGTATCACACCATGTGAAACTTACTTGCAAAGGTGTGTCATGGGAGTGATCATCTCCACATGATTCAATTGCAGGTTTGTTCTATCTGCACAAGAAGAAACTCATATAGATGGTAGTTTATAGAAGTAATAACCATGAAACTAAAAGAACTATTTGAAACAGTTATTTCAGGATTTATAAAAAACCTTGTTTCTTTTAAAAATTTATCACACTAGAATTACTTGAATGATGATAATGCCCAGTAGTGAAAACGTGTATACTAGAAGTTATAAGGAAAACCTATAAACAATCATAGGTAATGTGTTATGTAGGAGAGGAACCAAACATTTGGATCTTATTACCATGGACAAAATCGGCCTACAACATCACATACTACACTAAAATAAAAAAACTTCTATTTGAAGTTTTACATTGGAGGCCACCACCCAAAATTCTAACCAATGTGGTTAATACATCTGATGTTGATGCAGTGATGCCAAGTTAAAAGAAAGCAATGAACAACTGAAGAATCTAAAGAAGCCCCTCTCCATTGCCCAAGACCACATAAAGCAAATTTATAACTAGCGACATAGGATAGAAATTTTAATAGGAGATTGGATGCAATGATACTCTGACTCCCCAAAAATGAGTAAGCTACTTGAAAGCTATTGTATGCTTTATAAGCTACAGCTATTATTTCGTAGTTCTATGGACCAAAGGTTGTCATTTCGCCTAGACTGGCTCATACCAGCCAGTATTTACTGGTCCAGACATGCATCGCTCCTTCCTTACATATAAAAAAATGAATAGAACAAAGAAAAAGACAAACATGTAATGCCCATTTACCATGCAAATGGAACATTACCAAGTTCTTTATTGTCAAACTTTATGATCCAATCTGAGATGACAGCCTGCAGTGTCTTCCCTGTTCGCTGTATACACCTTTCTGTGATCTTAAATAACAATTTTTCACATAATAAGAGCGGAGTTACTATAAGCATAGTAGTATGAATACTGCAAATAAAGATGGCATTAGAATGTCTTCATTTACTGCAAATAAAGATGGCATTAGAATGTCTTCATACATCTCTTTCAAATTGATTATTCTGGTGGACCAACTCAGGAATTCTTGAAATTGTACGCTCTGAGACCTGCAGAGAAAAACACTTAGAAAAGATCAGCATAGGGACAAAGAATTTGGAACTAGACCAAGCTGCAAAAAAATGCCAAAAAAAATCTTCTGCAAATAATCTACACTTGTTGGTGTCGTCACCAACTATTTAGGTGGATAGAGTTTCAGAGAACTAAGTCAATAACTGGATGCACAAATCAGGAAAATGTGCCACCCTTCATAAGAATGATAATATCATCCACACTCCTCATAAAGAGCAAAAAACAACCAACTTATTAACAAGACAAAATGGAAACTAAATACATTTTTAATAAGTAGAATCATTACTCCTTATGGTGAAACAAGTTCCAATCAGATTGTCAATGGTGTTGTTTATCAAAAGAATTTTGAATCAATGAGAACCTAACCATTTCATATGACCTAAAAGTTTTTTCTATGCTCATAATATTTAACAAACTTGTCTATCTCATCTTTCTATTCTATAAAAATCTTATGAGCCAATTCCCAAAATGAAGCGCAACATAAAACCACTAAACGAAAACAGAGACAGAAAGTCAATAGAAATTTAGCATAGAAGCAGAAGCAAATTTGTACAGTATTTAAGATGTCTGAGATAAGCAATGCCATTACAAAAGGAAAACAGGGTACCATTAATGTTAGCATTGTACACAAAGCTAGAAGATTTTGCGACTGTCAGTAACTTAACAGTCCACCCGCTCCTAAGATTTCTTGCTGGGGAACTAGATATTGTTTACTGTAGGTTTACTAGCTGTCCTAATCAGTGAAATTGGTCAGCATAATATAGCTTAATATAAAGAATCACAGGAACTTGAATGGGCTGTATCACCCAATACAAACCGTATAAAGATATCAGCAAGGCAGGAGACTAGGCCATATACCTTACATGTTGAGTTATGTCAGCTCATAGTGACTGGCAAGAACTCAAATGGCAATAACATTGGAACAGAAAATAGGGGTGTTATGTGCACCATTCTACAAGCTTTAGTTACAATTTTTCTTGGTGTCTCTTCATAGAAAGTTGGATCATGTAGCAAAATAAGACAACCTACCAAGAAAACCAAAGAGCTACAAGAATCACATGTCAACCAAATAATAATTAGTGTATAGCAATATAAATAGAACACGATCTGACTTAAGTAGAAAAAAAATTAACACACTAGGTATGGATTATTCTCAAGCCTCAAAAGGTTGATGAATATCAAAATAATTGCTTAAGCGGTAAGTTGTCCAAAATTTATAAACAAAGGGAGTCAAAAATATAAATTTCCAGATGGTAGTAATGTATCACATGAATAAATCTCAATATTTGCCTATTTCAGATAGAAAAGATACTGAATAAACTCAAATTAAAATTGCATAATATGATGCAAATGCAACAAAGTCACAGTCGTACAAGGAGAGATAACAACGAGAGAACTATGAATAGGAAAGAAACAAACAGAGAAATCATGGAAGCATGAATACAGGTTTGAATGTTTCGTGATGGCAAATCATGTTGAATTCCCTTGCATCTACACCTTGAGCATCCCAGTAAGCCCCACAGAATGCTCTATCGCATCCTAAGCCTGCAACAAAGTTGGTTTAACACTAACAAAATGCACACTGAAAATGTGGTCAAGATAGTCAAGGAAAAATATGAAAAAGATGATAAAAAAACATAGTGGCCATTATTATTAACATATTATGGAAGAATTGCATGATATCAAACTGGACATGGATATAATTGTTCGTTTCCCTAAAATTAAGCATACCATATACTGTAAGTATCAAAATAAGAAGCTTATTGACAAGTGTGGTTTAATTACATGAACTGAAGCAACGAACAGCCAGAGATAAAATGATAAGGAACAAAGTCAGACAAGGACATGGAAGCATGAGATATTTGACTCATATAACTAGCTTAATTTATATGCCTATAAACAAATCACTAGTTGATTTACTTTTAAGATTTCCAAGTATGTAATATGAATTCAAATTAAAGATGAATCAGCATGATAATCTCAATGAACACTTAGCATACTCTATATGTAAATCTTGATATAAAATACACAGAAATTAACTGAAAATATTTATTTAAACCGAAGAATGAAATTGAAACAATGATGGAGAATGAAAGAAATGAGAGCAGGAAAATTTTGTAATAATTAGAAACTTAACATATTACTCATTTCGTGTAATATCAGTAATTCAGTATTTAACATCAGTCGAACGAGTACCATAGAGTGGATACTTTCCCACCTACTGAGTAATATAAATGTAAACAAAATCAAGAAATTATATTTTTAATAATAAATAGGTGAATGAATTATGCCTCTCTTTTAATATTGAGAAATATATAGGCCAGTAGCTGATGCATTGCATATAATAGGAATCAGTCCTACGATTTCAGGCAGAGTGATTATGCATGTACATCGGTTTTGCAGAAATAGAAAATAGAACAAAAAGTCGATAAATTGTATACCAAAATATACTGATCTCTTTTGATCCATGCTAAAATACAAAGAAATAAGATGATTGTTGCACTTACACTTTTGTGGTACAACAGAATCAGATCTAAAAGGCATCATTCCACCACATCCTTGACAGTGCAAGTGAGTGGTAGTTCTGTTGCATCTAAATCCACCAAGTTCATTTCCTGTTCAAAGTTTTAAATCAACAATATGGTGCCCTCATGAGAAAAGAATCAATAATCAGCAGCTACTTTCAAATTTAAGATGGAAAAAAAAAGTGAATGATCCAAGTTTGCACAACAGGGTGCAGACCATAGAAAAGTTTTTCAAAGACCTAATTTAAATGCATCAGTGCAAGAAAAATTAATTTAATTTCCCAATAATTTCAGTAAGTATCTCACAACTTGTCACTTAATATTAATAGATTTTTCAGATCTTTTTTGATACAATCAGAAATTTCAAAATATTAAATACCAGGCCTGTGAGGTTTAGTAGTTATTTTGTATAAAATTTTCTTAAACATGATATCTGTTTCTCACAAGAGAATCAAATTAAGAACCACTAAATTATATAGAGAAAATACCAGGTATAACCTATAACAATAAGCCACACAAACGCTTCATTAGAGTAGATAAGTTGGTAAATTACCACATTGAGGACATGGAAGCGCAATTTCGTTGCTGTCATCATTAGAAAGTGAGTGTGGCCTCTTTCTAGATGTGTGCATGCCCACAACCTGCAGCAAGTAATGCACTGAGGCATCAGATACCAGTCAAATAAACAACAGTTTCATGATCTCAACATTTTAGCTATAGAACTCATGCACAATGTTGCAATCAACTCAGCAATTTGGTATAGGAAGCCAAGATATGCAGTTTCGAATAATACCGTCCGTACCGGACGGTATGTACCGATCCGTCAGTTGACCGATACACGGACCGTCCGTTACCGGACGGTATATATATATATATATATATATATATATATATATATATATATACACTGAACGGTATATCGCTCGGTATACTGTATCATACCGTACTGAGCGAATGTCGAAATGCCGGTACGGTACGATATTTCAAACCTTGCAGGAAGCATATACATGAAGAAGCTCAAACGCCTAAGAAGTTGTGAATCATAATGATTAAAGAGTATGTTTCATAGGTAATCTGCACCGACAATAAGAATGCTGGCAATTAGGTGTCAAAGAAACTATTTCCTCTTCCTGATGTAAATGCACAGGAAGCTTAACAAATATCAAATATTAATTCTGGAAGGTGCAAACTAACCGGTATCATGTTTCTATGATTTTGACTGATCATTTTTATGTCTTTTATGAGTCATGTCTTGTACACATATATTTGAGTCACTAGCTGCATTATCACCAAATGTTTGAAAATACAATTCATCTCATATTGGATATCTCTTCTTTTTCAAACAACAAAAAAAAAAAACAAGTACAATGATGCCAAGACTAAAATTTCTATTTATATTTAAAGGATACAATAGCTTGAAACAGATGCATTTCAACAAGAAACTATAGCTAAGCAACAAATAATAACTTCAATATATGGAATAATTTTCACTCAGCATAATATTCTTAAATGATCTTTCCTCAGTGAAAATAGAGTCTTTTGATGTAATTATATATACAAAAAGTTTCTCTGTCTCCACCATAACAATTTTGCAGAATGAAAAAAGAAAAGAGTTAGCTGGTAGTCTAGCTTGTCCAATAATTAGGAAATTATACACTCTTGAGCAATATGAATCAGAACTCAGAAAGAAACTATCACTAAACATTCTATAATTTTTATAAGCAAATATTACCTTACAAATAAAAACTAAAGAATAGAGGACTTACAATATTAGACTTAATTGAAGCATAAGTATTCAATAAAGCAATTTCTTCATCGGAACGTTTTAGAGATGAAAATGTTTGCAAGATAGCCTACAAAAAGAGATTAAAAATCAGCTTAGTCACTACAAAAAGAACAATCAGAACTTCAAAGCAAAAAAATGTAGAGGGAAAATGGAAACAAGCAGAACAACATGAAGCAACAAACCCAAAGAGCTATCTGATGACATCTTTGAGAAATACATATGACCTTGTTCATTTTATCTTGATACACACATAAAAAAATGTCAGATAGTAAATTCATCCAAAATAGATCTTTAATAGAAAAAAGTACAATTCAGTAAATATAGACATTTTATCTTGATACTCATGTCCCAATAAAGTAAATCACACTGTTAGTTGCGAAGACAGGATATCTTTTCAAAATAAAAGTTGAAAATTTAGAATCATAAAAGATTGAAGTCCCTGTGAGTGGGATCCAGGTCCTCCCTTTCTCACTTGGGAAACCTTGGAAGAAGATGAAATTATATGAACAGCAGAAGTTGTGGACAAGAAATTGCTGCAAGTTGTACCCCATGATGGCACATGGTAAAGTAAAAATACGAAGTAAGAAAGAAAACAAAATAGATGCAAGAAAAGGTTTAGAGTTACTTCATTGTTAACTCCAGAAAGACATCTTTCACCCTCTTTCCAACTCCCATCTAGCACTACATGTGATCCTATCTGACTCTCATCTGTTAAATGAAGGGAAATCCAAAAGGTTGGAGACAATAAGAATGAATAGATTCATAGAGACTAAGAGCTATGTCTTTTCATTTGGAGAACACTTGTAGCCATCGCAGTAGTAGTTAGTTGCTGCCAAACTATTTCCTGTTCTTTGGAACAAGACTAGCAGCCACAATCACAACATTAAGTTCACACCCACGTGAAAAAAGCCATTTTTTAAAGGCTTTGATGCCTTCAACACCATTAAGAGCTAAAACCACAAATGGCCTCTGATTCTTTTTATAAGAAATGGAACAGATATTTAAGGACACAATCATTTTCCAAATGCAACAATACAATAATGTGGCCTTTAGGGTACGAATGTTTCAACGAACCAACTGTTTACCCATATACTCCCAGATCAACTTAAAAATCCATCTAAAGAAGTCAACAAAAGGAAACTGACATGCATAAAAGACACTAAAATACGGTATCATGCACCAAAATGGTACCTACAAGGGACCATCTGTGTGGGCTAAAAATGGCAGTGTTCCTAGATTAATCATAGTGAAAGCCATGACTATCTGGACTTTATGTAGAGACATGACTAGGGGAAATAATGACACTTAAATAGTTATATACTTGAAAATAAGGATTCGATTAGAATATGCAACTCAACAGCCAACTATTAATAACTTATGCTTAAGTATTTCATAACACGTGATAGGACATACCTCAACTTTGAACTAGTAGGTAGATCTTGTTGCATGCAGGTGCAAATTCATTTTATTTTTTTATCTTAGATGATAGAGGCATGTCATAACATGAGCATGCATCTGCAACAGAGACATTATTTTTTGAACTGGGATTCAACCTAGCCCTCGCGAGTAGACCAGAAATATCTTGCAAATTTCTGGAGCATATTCTGGCTCACAAAGAAAGAATATATCACTTAATATGAACATGCCACAAGCTATTGTGATGTGCATTCATTTCATTGTTAATTTAACAATGAAAAAAGGAACAGATAGCTAATGACTGAGGAGAATAGAAATAAAAGTGAAAAAAATGGTGGAAACAGCAACCTCTTCAATATTATGCAAAAAATGATTTCTTCCAACTGAAAATACAACTGCTCTGCATTGTGGACATACAACACTTTGTGCTCTATTGTTGAACTTGGTAGATGACCTTCTTAACCATTCTGAGAAGCACCCATTACTGCATGAAAGAAGGGAAGTTCTAAATGAAGAATCCAAAAGCATGCTCATATAAGAAAGGCATATATGACAAAAACATTACCAGAAGTTGTGGAGACAAGGAGCAACTGTCACAACATCATGCCATATGTTTAAGCATATGCTGCATTTTGCATGCTCGACATCTAATGATATCTAGCATATAGAAAACTAGCAATATCAACCAGTATAAAGAAAACAAAGAACATAATATAAATTAAATGACACAAGGTAAAAAGAAGAGACCTCTATTATTTTTTCATTGTTTCTGTGAGAAGGCATTGCCTCAAAAACATAGGTCAAGAATACTGATCAGTAGAACCAGCACAAGAAAAAAAGAAAGTTAGCTTAAAATGCAATACCAAGAAAATAACTAATTGTGTTCAAGTTACAAGAGCCTTAATTTATATTTTCCATTTTTTTTCAGATAGTCTGCACAAGCCAAAAAGACTGTCTAATTTAGACACCTATTTCTTTGAGACCACAATTAAAAAGGACATTTAAAATTGAGAAACCATGACATCATAAACAAATAGACAATTTTAAGACGTGACAAACTCATAACACGTAAGAGTAATGAAGTGTGGAGTTAAACGAACAGGCATTGAGTAAAAGAAGAACATATTAGTCAAGGCAAAAATCTAACCTTCTCTATCAGGTCCTGAAGTGATTTCACTGCCACTTATAATGTTCACTGTTTCTTCTCCAACAACTTTCCCATCAATGATGATTACATTTGAACTTGATCCAACAAGGTAGCGAAAAGGCAAAACAATAACAACTTTAGCTAAAGAGATGTAGGCTTTACAGATAAGAAGCAACCAGTGCTAAATTATCATACAAGACACAACATAAACATTGCTTATATAAGGGTGAGATTTTCTTATCAAAGCAGCTCAGTGTTGGTGAAATTTTCTTATCAAAAAGGGTTATGAACAACTACAACAAGCAGCTCCGCATCCAATCTACTTATGGTTAGTTACATTTGGCTACATGAATCTTTGACTGCTAAGCTCTGTAGAAGACAATATCCCTATTTAAATCAAAAGCATTATAATCTTTCTTATTGATTCTCATAAAGTTTCTCTCCCTTGTCTTTTCTAACACCATTAAGCATGATCAACTCATCTCAACCAAGGCATCTATAGTCACCTACAAACATGTTAATACCATCTTGGATGAATTCTCAACATTTTATCATTTACTGAGGCTACACCTAATTATTCACAAATGAAATAATTCTTATTCTATATTTTGTATTAACAACCCACACATCTATCATGACATTCTAATCTCAACCACAATGAGTTTTTGTAGATGCTTTTTAACTGCCCAACACTTCATATATAAAGCATGTTTGGCCTTCCAATTGTCGCATAAATGTTCCTTTTTATCTAACAGGGATACAGTGATCAAAAGTCATTCTTCTCTATGAACAATACCTTCGTCAACTTCTCCTACATATTTGATAGATTTGAGATACTCAAAACTTTTACTTGAAGAAACTTATCAATCGATTGTAACTACATTTTAAGCTTTTCTTTGAATATTGCCAAAATTTGGCCTTGGCACATTCAATCTTAGTCCTACTCATTATAAAACCTTTCATATCTAAGGTTTGCCTCCACAACTCAAAATCTAAATTAATCTCAACTGAACTTTTATCAAATTGTACAATGTCATCAACAAAAAAAATTAACCATGCTCCATTTTTGTACATGGTTGATAAGTTCATTCATTAAAAAAATAAATGACTTAAATTTGATCTTTGATGTAACCCTATCTGTTACAACTCAACAAATAGCACTGACATAGTGTTTAACATGGATTTCAACTCCAAATATCATTCTACGATGGCAAAAAGAGCATTTTCTATGATGTGGCTCAAACAAGGATATATAATTGTAAACTAATTTGATGTTGCTGTGGTTTCAGTGTAACAAACTAATATAGAAGTCATTTGGTACCCTTGAATCATTTAATAAAATTGTTTGGATCGCCAAAAACCATAGCCAGGAAAGATAAAGTTAAGAAAATGTGTAGAGCTGGGAACAAGGCCTATTTCTTTCAAAAGGAAAAGCCAATACTTCCACCTATAATAATTATCCAAATTTGATCCTTAGCCAGGAGAACTCCTACAATTCCAGAAATGCTCTTGCCAAGGAAGACACTCCTTACTCGGAGTGTGGTTTGACACACCTCATCACCGGTTTAAAACAAAATGTTAAACAAGGAAAGACGTCTTCCAACCCGAGCATCAACAAACCACTGCCGAAAGTACAAGATTTCAGACATCGAATTACAAACCTCAAGTTTCTAATCATCGCCGAATCTTTGTCCGGATTCCACTTTATCTCGCACCATGGATGCTTCTCAATCGACGAGCTCGTAATCTCCGAACATATGACGGCCTCCCGCGATCTTATCTCTATCGGGGGATACGTGGAATCAGTGGGCACTGCACCGCAGCAAAGAATCAACACCCATCGGAGGTCGAACCACCACAAGCACAAGAAACCAATGACAGATCTTCTTGCGAGAAGATGAAACATGCGGTAAACCCTAAAGCATTGTTGCAGATGGAGAGAGGGAAGGAATACCTAGTTTGGCCCAGATGTCGGAGTCTTCTTTGCTGCGAGAAGATTCGGCCGGCTCCATTGTTGGATTATCGGATGGAGACCAAACTGCCGCCTCTTATAAGCAGCAAACGGAAGCGGTGAACGAGAGAGGCTTCTTCCGAGGGAAGACTTGCGACGGAGACCTTAACGACTCACCGCTTTGAATCGTGCCTGTCGTGTCCGAGCTCTTTATTATTTTTCAGAAGTATATTAAGAATTAATTAGAAAATATAAATGGCGAATACCCAAAAAAAAATTCTTATTTTTTTAGTGGACGCTCCTATTTCTTAAAAAAAAAATAAAACAGTATATTTTTTTTAATGAACATTTTATATCTTCCTTAGTTGCTCCTTTCATCTCGTCTCTCTATCCAACCCAACCTATTGGCTAATATCTTTGTCATCATCCTCGTTAAAATTCAACAGCATGTAATAACAATACTTGTTCGGAGCTAGTGGGAGACAATCTCGTACATAATGGAGGAAGATAATCAATCCTTATACAAGGACTATAACGAAAAAGATAACCGACGGAGGGAGATGATCAACCCTCACACGAGGGTTGCAAGTGGAGAGGAGCAACCCCGCATACAACAAAGTGGGGCGATCAACCCTTACACGAGGGTTGTAGGCATAAGGAGACTATTTTGTACGGCGGATGGGGGCAACTGAGGCAACAGGCGGTGACGAGATAATAAAAACGACAATAGATCTGATGAAAGAAGGGGTAAAATTTTTTTTCATATAATCAGGTGTTATTTCAAAAATTTTCAAGATAGAATCAGAAATTATAAAAAATAGAGGCTTATTTTGATCGAAATTTCACCCAAATATAAATTGTTCGCATAAGGATCACTACGAAGCCTCAAAAAATAAAAATAAAGTGACTTTATTCGCTTTATTGGAAATAGCTCATGATATGAAGAACGTATCTGCAGAGATTTTTCTTGTCAACTAAACTAAAGGAAAGAAAATTCATTATATCACTTTTAGAGCATTGAAAACCTGATCTATCGACATATGTTGGTTTGAGTTTAATTTCTGATATATGATATTTCTAAATATTACTTATAATGTGTTACACCTCGGTGAACTAAAACTTAGATTAATTTATAATGGTAGAATCTAAGCTTAACTATGTTAGGTTAGTACTTCAATCTCATCAAATTGGGTTGTGATATATTATTTTTAGACATTTATCTTATATCACAAAATCTTGCAGCTCGTAGTGGCCTAGATTTGAAAACTATATTAGGGGCATACTTAATAAGACCCCTTCGATATTTAAGTTAATAAGGATTTAAATAATTCGATCAATGTATTTAGTCATAGAGTATTTGTTGATAAGAATACAATCGGGATCTTTTTAGAGTGTGGTAGAAAACTGTAAAATTAAGTTTTTGCTAAATATTAAGAATGATTATGTGCATCATTCAGTAATTTATTAATGGATCATGAAATCATGCATTATAATTAATTGTGTTAGTCTCGTAGGTCCAACCAAGTTGTGTTATATTTTATGACTATAATTAATTGGTTAAGATATATTGAGATCCTAATTGGATTATAATTAACGCTATTGACTAATAGAAAGGAAGTCTGATATGTTAGGATATCTTAAGAGATGATCTTGATACGAGGAACTTATCAGAACCATGAAAATAGAAAGAAAAAAAAGAGTTTAATTTATAGAGATTTTTTCTCTCGTCTTCTCATAAGTCATAAAAATAAGAAAAGAGGAGAAAGAGTGTCTAATTTTTCCTTATGCAGATTACCAACTTAGGAAAATCATATGATGTGTTACTTCATAACATCGGAGATACCTTGTTGTGTTCAAAAGTATGCACCTTCCATTTTTATCTAGAATATTTCATTTCAATCCTAATATTAAATTTACATAAATAATTTTATTTTTTTTATAATTGATATCAAAGTTATGTCATTGAAATTTAAATTAACGTAGATCTATTTTTTTATCTATTTATGCATTAGATCTATTTTAATTATATCTAATTATTATTTTTATTCCAACCAGCACTTGCACCATGTGATCCACGTCGCTCACTAGGCTCAAAGCTTCATATGCATCATTTAAGTATGCTCGAGTCTTGCGATCTGTTTGTTCGCCTGCTTGCAGGCCTTATAACGTGGGTGGCACTACATTAGATGGTGTGATACTCGTTTTTATCGGTGCAGCGATTATTGTGGTCATCGACCTTGTCAAAGATAGCGACGACTACGTGAGGCGACAATGTCATTGAGATTTGATATGTCACTGCTATCTTATAGGGTCGTAGTTCATGAAAAGGAATATAAAGAGTGTGTGCATTTGGTATCTTGTAAGTGTTCTTGTCAATCTTTCTTTTTTAAATATTACATCAGTTTTCTTGAATCGAAATGATTCTTTTACTTGCATCGTAGTATTATGTTTTGCTTCAATAACTACATCAATCTAGTAGTTATAGGTGATTGTCACTAGGTTCTGGTTATTGAAATCAACATTTCCTCTTGATTCATAGTTGTCTAGATGGTTATCATGATCTAGAGTGGTTATAGGATGATTTCAATAATCAACTCAATCATTATCTAGTATAGTCAATCATGATCTAATAGTTATAGGGTCACTATGTCCTATAATCTAGTTATTGAAATCATCCTGTAACCCATTGATTCATAGTTGTCTAGATAATTATCATGATCTAGAGTGGTCGTGATAACTATCTAGATAATTATGAATCAAATCTCAACACTCCCCCTTGATTCATAGTTGTCTAGATAGTTATCATGATCTAGAGTGGTTACAGGATGATTTTAATAATCACCTCAATCATGATCTAGTTGTCAGGACCGTAGTTCATGAAGCAAGGAATACAGAGAGTGTGTGCATTTGATAGTATTCTATTTTGTTTGAATAACCTAATTTTTACCCCAAAATTGGTTACACTCAATTTTGACGAACTCTCGCCCCATTCAATTTTGGTTAATTTTTAATCTGGTCCAATCCTATTTTGACTTGGTCAAATATTCACAATTTGGTTTTTGACGCAATTGTGACCGGTCTCGTCAAATGTTTGATCAAAAGTTTAATTTTAGTATTTCGTTTTTTTTATTTTGACATAGTTTTAATCAAGCTCCCCGATTATGACCCGATCAAAATTCAATTTTGATCTTGTCTAAACTTTGATCAAACCTGAATTTTGACTATGGTTTGGTTGAATTATGACTAGAGCCCAATTTAGACCTAATTTGGATAGGATTTAATCTTTTGATTGATTTTGACCCTTGTCAACCTTTATTTGATTGAACCTTAATTTTGACCAATTTTGATCTTGATAACTCTAATTTTGATGGTCCTAATTAGGCTAATGTTTGGCCCAGATTGGGTTTGTCTAATTAAATATCAGTTATTTGACCTAATTTAAGATTTCATATAGAATTAATGAAATTTTAGATTATTTGTAACTTAATGAAAAGTTAGTTAATATTATTTGTAACTCAATGAAAATTTAGTGAATATATTTGTAACTTATATTCCTAAGTTTTATCCGGCTATTAGTTGTCAAAATGATCTAGAATAATAGAGTTATGAGATATAAATTATAATAAATATTTTATCATTTATAAAATATTTTAAATTATATTTTATTATATTGACTTTATAATCGTTAAAGTGGTCTAGACTAATAAAATTATATTATAAAATTAGTCTTAAATAGTATTATGAAAATTAATATTCATAATGATATATATAATTAGGAGATGAGATAGGATGACACTATTTTAAATATCTTTATAGTTTAATATTTTATATCAAAGATAACAATACTATTCCACAAAGATAATATTAATTCTACATATAATTTTGAGTAAATACTAGATATGTTAATATTTTACTGAAAGATAAAATATGAATAATATTGATAGTTCATTATATTTTAAAAAAAAATTAAAATATTAGTACTTCTCATTATATTATAGTGCTTCGAATGTCTCTATATATTTTAGATTAAATTATTATAAATAGCTCGATCATGTATAATTTATATTAAGAGTTAGATATTAACCTTATTTATTGAAAGGATCACAAACTTAATCACTCAAAATTTTGTGAGATAAATAATTAAAATAAATAATTAAAAAAGGTCTATTAGGCTTAGTTTTAATAATTATTAATAATATTTGAACTTCATTATAGTATATAACTAGCATATTGGAATATTTAAATATTAATTTAAATTTATTAATAAGTCATTTATTCGTAACTTAATAGAAGAATTTACCATACCATAGTATTACTATATTCGAGGAATTATAAAATATATCCTCATTATTGCTGACAATGCTAGAAAGCTCAAAATATTTGTCATGATGAGTCTTATATCATGCATTTCATTTTTAATTCTTGTTTGACTTATTTTAAATTCATTACAACATAATTAAATTAATAGTGAAACTTAAATTGAGCTAGTATTTGTATTTTTTTTAAAAAATTAAGATTAAAATAAGAAAGACTCATTGTACTACTATTTAAAGAGTGGATAACAATAAAATAAAATTGAAACATAATCCACTAAATAAATCAGTAAGTTTGGAAATGCTATACAAACTTATAGACTAAAAGTTTTCATAATAAAATATTATGATAAAAAAATATTACGTTAAGAAGGACTATAAACTTTGATATGAAAGAAAAGATATAGACATCGTGTTTTGAATCAAATGTTACATAAGTTTCATTTATTATTTGGTGGAATGTCTCTAGTGTTTCAACTTATATTATAAATAATTTACAATGATTATTTTTAACATGAAGATAAAAAAAATGAAAGATTTATCGTTATAGAGAATCATCTTAACGTGAAAATTATAGTATTTGGTATTTATCGCTTATGTTTAGAGACAGCTTATTTGATGTATCTTGATGATGTATATTATATTCCTATAATTCTAGAATTTTAATTTTTTATCTATAATTATTAGAATATTATTTTTCTTTGGTGATAGTAAACTCAATATATTTATGATTCGGTTAAAGCTGGTTATGAAATTATTAAGATATTATTTTCTTTTTATAAATTATATATATATATATATATATATATATATATATGAGATTCATGTAATGTCTCAAGTTCGACATTACATAAATCT